TTATACTGGGATAGACTGGGATATACTGGGATAGACTGGTTTGGACTGGTTTATACTGGGATATACTGGGATGGACTGGGATATACTGGGATGGACTGGGATATACTGGGATGGACTGGGATGGACTGGGATAGACTGGGATAGACTGGGATATACTGGGATATACTGGGATAGACTGGGATGGACTGGGAGGGGCCCAGCAGAGAGCGGGGGACTGGAAATGCCCCAACCCGTGAGTTCATACTGGGATATACTGGGATAAACTGGGATGGACTGGGATAGACTGGGATGGACTGGGATAAACTGGGATGGACTGGGATGCACTGGGTTATACTGGGATGGACTGGGTTAGACTGGGTTATACTGGTTTGGACTGGGTTATACTGGGATAGACTGGGATGGACTGGGAGGGACTGGGATGGACTGGGATGGACTGGGATGGACTGGGTTAGACTGGGATAGACTGGGTTATACTGGGTTATACTGGTTTGGACTGGGAGGGGCCCAGCAGAGAGCGGGGGACTGGAAATGCCCCAACCCGTGAGTTCATACTGGGATGGACTGGGATATACTGGGTTATACTGGGATGGACTGGGATGGACTGCGTTAGACTGGTTTATACTGGGATGGACTGGGATGGACTGGGTTACACTGGGATGGACTGGGATGGACTGGGATTGACTGGGATGGACTGGTTTATACTGGGATAGACTGGGTTATACTGGGATAGACTGGGATAGACTTGGATGGACTGGGATTGACTGGGATGGACTGGGATATACTGGGTTATACTGGGATGGACTGGGATAGACTGGGATGGACTGGGATAGACTGGGATATACTGGGATATACTGGGTTATACTGGGATGGACTGGTTTATACTGGTTTGGACTGGGTTATACTGGGTTATACTGGTTTGGACTGGGATAAACTGGGATGGGACTGGGTTACACTGGTTCATACTGGTTTGGACTGGGTTATACTGGGATGGGTGTGGAGGGTGTGTGACGTCGCTGGTGATGTCATGGTGACGTCACAGGGCGTGTGAGAACCTGGGGAAGGGGACGGGGGAAACTGGGATGAACTGGGAAGGGAACTGGGATGAACTGGGAAGGGGTGTGGCGGGTGTGTGACGTCACCAGTGATGGGATGACGTCAG